TATCCTTAGATGTTTGTTAGAAACAGCTAATGTTTAATACAGTGCCTAGGTAAGTGTAAAATGGGATCAAACAGCCACACAAAGAACAGTGAGTGAGTTCACTGTTCTCGGACCAGAGTTCTTGGTTCCTGACCGGGCTTTGCTAAGAACCAGGATTTTGAACAACTTCATAATTATGTCACAGTATCATTGGCTCAATGGGTCTCAGAAGGAGGCACCTAGGCCATCAGACCCAGCTGGGCTCAGTCCCAATTAAAGACAAGGCACTCGAGTTAAAGTACAAAGCTGTTTTCAGTGTTACTCACTCACTGATCCTGTCTAAGTCAGTGTTCTAGTGCTGTGAAGAGACACCATGACCACGGCAACTCTTATAAAAGAAAGCATTGGACTCGGCTGGCTTACACTTTCTGAGGTTTAGTCCAGCCTCATCATGGCAGGAAGTATGGCGGCATGCAGGCAGAGAAGGTGCTGGAGCAGTAGCTGTGAGTTCTATGTCTGGATCCCAGGTAGCAAAGAGAGAAAGCCTCTGGAACCCCAGACAGCATGAGTTTTGAACCCTCAGAGCCTGCCTTCAGTCTCACACTTCCTCCTAAAAGGCCAAACCTCCTAATCCTTTAAATAGTGCCATTCCCTAGTGACTAGGTGTTGTGTTTTATAAAAAGATAGGAAAGAAGGAATGTTTGGTGGAGGCACAGTATGGTGTGGGGGAAGGGAGCCTCTGCAGGCCCCTGCTGAGGCATCCCTTTCCCTCCTGAGGTATCAGCTACGCATATCTTATAAAACAGAGTTTATTCAGGGCATGGGGAGAGAGGAGTTGAGAGAAAGACAGAGAAGGAGAGAGAGAGAAAGAGAGAGAGAGAGAAGGAAGAAGAGGAGGAGGAAAACGAGGAGGAAGAGGAAGAGGAGAAGAAGGAGGAGGAGGAAGAAGAGGAGGAGGAGGAGGAGGAGGAGGAGGAGGAAGAAGAAGAAGAAGAAGAAGAAGAAGAAGAAGAAGAAGAAGAAGAAGAAGAAGAAGAAGAAGAAGAGAGGAATAGAGGCTACATGAGAGCACGGAGATAGAGAGTGGGGAGGGCAATGGGGAGAGAGAGTGTAAGGATGTAAGGATCAGGGGCAAAAGGAGAAGAGAAGGTAGCAAGAGAGTGAGGAGGGGCAAGCAGCCCCTTTTATAGTGAGTCAGGCATGCCTGGCTGTTGCCAGGTAACTGTGGGGCGGAGCCTAGACTAAATGCCAACACTAGGCATTCAAATAGATGAGCCTATGGAGGCCATTCTTACTCAAGCCACTGTGGTGGTCTGAATCAGCTAAGATAATAAGCTAAGTTCAATAAGCTAAGATGATTTGTGGCAAAGCCACTGTGTCTTTCCAGAGGTTCATTCTCAGCTTGAGACTATGGATGGAGATACCCATGTCAGATAGTTCTAATCATGTGGCAAGAGAAGAAAACACCCTTTTAAAAAAGATTTTTTTTTTTAAGGGTGATGATGATAGTGGTGGTGGTGGTGTGTTTGTGTGTGTGTCCATATGGGTATGTGCACATGAGTGCAGGTGCCTGTGGAAATCAGAGGTGTAGCATCCTTTGGAGCTGGAGTTTCAGGCAGTTATGAGCTGCCTCATGAGGTTGCTGGGAACTGAACTTAGGTCCTTGGCAAGGGAAGTACACGTTTTTCACCATGGAGTCATCTCTCCAGCCTCTAAAATGCCTTATTTAAAGAAATAATAGAGTCAAAATGCCCATGCTAGGATACCTGTCTGGTACTCTAGGGTCCTCCACCCCAGTCTAAGATGTTCCCCACTGCCTCCCTAGGGCTAGAATTGAGTGTGTACCTTGGTTGTATACACCCGTGTTGCTACTCATTAGCCTTGCTGACAATCACTACCTCTTTCCTCTCTGTAAGATGTTGCATCATTATGGTGGTTTGAATGAGAATGGCCCCCACAGGCCTATAGATTTCAATATTTGGTCTCCAGGGAGTGCCATTATTTGAAAGGATTAGAAGGTGTGGCCTTGTTGGAGGAATTATGTCACTAGGGGTGCTTTGAGGTTTCAAAAAGCTCACTCCGAGCCCCGAGTCTCTCTCTTCCAGCTGCCCATGGATCTGGATGTCGCACCCACAATTACTTCTCCAGCACCATGTCTGTCTGTGTGCTGCCATGCTTCTGCTGCTGCTGATAATGGACTAAACCTCTGAATCTGTAAGCCAGCCCCAGTTACACTTTTTCTTTTATAAGAGTTGCTGTGCTCGGGGCTGGAGAGATGGCTCAATGGTTAAGAGCACTGACTGCTCTTCCAGAGGTCCTGAGTTCAAATCCCAGCAACCACATGGTGGCTCACAACCATCTGTAATGGAATCAAGTGCCCTCTTCTGGTGTGTCTGAAGATAGCTACAGTGTACTCATATACATAAAATAAATAAACATATCTTTAAAAAAAAAAAAAGAGTTGCTGTGCTCATGATGTTTCTTCATAGCAACAGAACACTGACTGTGACAGTCATTATGAAGACTGAATAAGATGAGGCTTAGACCAGCACCTGTTGGTATAAATTAAGAGCTTCATCATCCTTCCTTCCAGCTACCCAGCACCAGCAGCTATATTATCACCGGCTGCCGCCAGGTACAGTACATTTCCATTGTTGCTAATAGTTGCATAGCAACACACACATCCTTTAAAAGGTCCCTCTGGGCATCACGGCTCTTTCTCACTCTTTCTGTCTGCCAGACTGTCTCTCTGTCTCTATCTCCCCCAATAAACCTCTTGGGTTAGTTATTTCTGTTGTGTCACATGACCTTTAGCTGTACACCTTGACCTCAACCTGCTGCTCTATGCTAATACCTGCCTCTTGGTTACTAGTTGTTATAGTGTGAATATAAAATGCCCCATAAGCTCAGATTTTGAGCACTGCTCTCCAGCTGGTGGCACTAACTGGAAACTTTAGGAGATTGTGCCTACCTGGAAGAAGTTGATCAGTGGGAATAAGCCTTTGAAGGCTCTACCTGGGCCAAGCCCATCCGCAATCCCTAACAGCCAGGAGGTAGGCTGCATCTGATACATTCTCTGAGAACATGGTGTGAGCTGTTTCTCCAGATTGTCCCAGATTGATAACTCCAAAGCCATGAGTTCAACAAATCCCTCTTCATAAAGTTGTCTCTGTCAGGCATTTGGTCACAGTGGGGAGAAAGCTAACGCACTGGTACAAGCCAGCCATTATTCATGAACTCTATGCTGGCCCTGCTAATCCCCACCAGAGCCCTGTGACTTCTCCCCTGGGAGTATGGAACTGGCATAAATCTAGTCTCTGTGGGTGTCTGGAGCCATAGCAGATTTCAGTACTTTGCTTTAAGGCCTGAGGAGCACAGAACAACCTTCAAAGAGAGGAATAAAGAAAATCAGAGGGAGGGATGCATGTCACCTGGATTCCCCACTGGGCCCTACAGAATCAGTAGGAGGGGTATATGTCACCTGCAATCAATCCCTGCTGGGTCAGGAGAAGGTGCATGTCACCAGCATTCCCCACCAAGTCTTCTCCTGCTGCGGTTGCTGGGCTGAGCCTGTGGGCATTCCTACTCCTTGTTTCTATGAGACACCATCTGTTTATTTAACCAGTGTCCGCTGGACTATCTCCAGGGCCCTAAAACCCCAACTGATGCATCTTCACCTACAGAAAGGACAGTCTCTGCTTAAGAAGAAAAAGAAAAAGGAGGTGCAGACTGTGTCCTCCTCTCTCCCTCTCTCTCTCTCTCTCTCTCTCTCTCTCTCTCTCTCTCTCTCTCTCTGTGTGTGTGTGTGTGCGCGTGTGTAGGGGGATGAATTAAAAGTCACCCATACTGACTTCCTTATTTTCTTTCCCCTATGGAATTAGACATGGCAGATGTATTTCTTTTTCTGATCCACAAGTACTTTAAGGGTGACATGTAACACAGGCTGAATCTTTATCAACATAGGTCTCAACATCAGGAAAGGCAGGACTGGCAGGGAATGTCCAGATTCAAGTATATAAATAAAGGATTACTTTATTTCCCCTAGAGGTTTTCCCATGTTTTTTATTTTAATGAAATTAAATAAGTTTTTAGCAGAGGGTAGTCGTGGGAAGAAGAAGCTGTTATTAGATTTAGGTATTAATATGAAAACAGAGACAGAAATGTTCATCTCTCTTTGTTCTAATTATATTTCCATTCACTGTGATAAAGACCATGAGGAGGAAAGGGTTTATTTCATCTTATACTTCAGGTAACAATCCAGCACTGACGAAAGTCAGGGCAGGAGCCTGGAGGCAGGAACAGGAGCAGAGACCATAGAGGAGCTCTGGTCATTGGCTTCCTTTCCAGGGCTTGCACAGCAACTCAGAACCAGCTACTCAGTGGGGGTACCACCCACAGTGGACTGGGCTGCCCACACCAATCATTAATGCCCCGTAGAGTTGCCTACAGGCCAGTTTGAAGGAATCATTTTTCTCAATTGAAGTTCCTTTTTCACAAAGGACCTTAGCTTGGGTGGAGTCTACAAAAACTAAACAAAACAACAACCAGGATACCCTTCCTGACTCCCACTCCCAGCTACCAAGTTAACAACATATAAAATTTTCTTTTGCTCTATAGATAACAAAACAAACCCCTGGGGACCCACAAGCTTGTTCTAGGCCCTCTGCTCTCCGGACATCGGTTGCTCTACCATGAGGGTCTTGTGCTGAGACAATGGAGTCATCTGACTTTAGGGCTTATGCCACTTTGCACTGCACTTCTTGGAAGAATAGTGAGACAAGACTACAAAGATACTCTCTAAAACCAGAGAGCAGCGTTGGAGGCTTCAACATTTGGCCTTTTGTCTCAGTTGCTGGGGCCCTGCCTCCGCAGACACCCAGGGGGCAGATCCAGGAGTGGGCCAGAGGAACACAGGCTTCTCTGTGCACCCTGTAGGTCCACAATGGTAGCCTAGGCCTGGAATGTCCCCATGAAATGAGGTTGGCACTCCTACAGAGTGGCATTCTGAAAAGAGCACTTACCTGGGTTGAAATAAAAAATAATATTTAATAAATCCTGGTCGCCCCACGTGATGGCATTCTTATACTTCTGGTACAGCGGGAGCAGCATCTCCTCCCAAGCCAGGCCTGTTGGAATCAGGCTGTTCTGGAAGAGAGAGAACCATGAAAGCAGTTGAGGCAAAGCAAGCATGCCTTGTCCTGTGAAAATGGGGACAGCTTTCCTTTATCCTTGAGACAGCAAATGCAGGTGTGGCCCCACTACCCTGGTCACAGAACCAAGAAAGCAAAACTGTGGGTAGAGTTTTGGGGAAGACACACCTATGGATGCAGGGTGGATCAGAAAGTGGAGAGGGCCCTATGGTCTTCTTATCTTTCCCCTTTTTTATTTTAAATTTTGTTTATTATTTGAGTGTAGGTGTGTGTGTGTGTGTGTGTGTGTGTGTGTGTGTGTGTGTGTGTGAGAGAGAGAGAGAGAGAGAGAGAGAGAGAGAGAGAGAGAGAGAGAGAGAGAGAGAGAGACACCATGTGCCATGGGGGTACATGTAGAGGTCCTGGAGGATAGGTTTGTGAAGTTGCTTTTCTCTTACCTTTATGTGGACTGCAGAGATGGAATTCAGGGCATCAGGCTTGTGTTTTCAGGAGGAAGCCCCCCAACCCTTTCCTGCTGGGCCACCTCATCAGCCTTTTCTGAGGTGTGTGAGATGTGTGAGAATGCCCGTTTGTGTGTGTGGAAGCAAGCACACGTGTATCACAGCACACACACTCGAATGAGATGACAGCCTTCTGATAGCCAGCCCTGCCTTTTCAACCTTGTTTGAGACACATCTCTTTGCTGCTGATTCCAGGCTAGCTGACTGATAACTTGCAGCATTGCTCCTGTCTGGAACTTCAGTGTGCTGGGGTTGCAGCCCATTGGGCGACTGTGTCCAGTTTTATGTGGGTTCTAGGGTTCTGAACTCCAGTCATCAGGTTGCTACCACAACATTTTTACCCACTGAGTCTCCGCTCCACATCATGTCTGTGATTTCTAAAACACGTACTGAAACTATACCTCTTTCTTAGCTTTGTTCATTAAAAAAAAAATTATCTTAGAACTATTTTATATCTGTGAAGAAATAAAACAGTGATCACAGAGTCAAGGCATTAATTTAATGGGGAAACCATCTTTTTTTTGTTTTGTTTTTTTGTTTTTTTGTTTTTTCGAGACAGGGTTTATCTGTATAGCCTGGACTGTCCTTGAACTCACTCTGCAGACCAGGCTGGCCTTGAACTCAGAAATCTGCCTGCCTCTGCCCCCCAAATGCTGAGATTAAAGGTGTGTGCCAACACTGCCCGGCGGAAACCATCTTTATCCCTTCATTTAATTAACAAATTTTAGTGTGTCTTGCACTATATCCCAGGCTGGCCTTCAATGTGGGGCCCCTGTATTTACCTCCCAAATGATGTGGTTATAGGTGTGTGCCACCATATCCATCCTGTCCTTGTTTCAGAAAAATTACTTTTAAACTAAAAGTATCACACCCACAACTGAAGTATTCAAATTGTACATTAGGATAAAAAGTTACAAAGTGTATTTTTTCTGCTGCTCTTTCTAGATCCTGTTCCAACTTTCCACCAAAGCATCTACAATGAACAATTAAAGGTCTCTCGGGCATGTTTCTGGAAATTTCTAAGGCATAAAAAGTATGATCATTTTTTTTCTTCACTTGAGGTTTTTGGAAATTGTATTACTGCTAGTAATATACAGATTAGCCTACGGTTTTTAAATTTTTTTAATTTATGTGTATGGTGGCTGTGTGGTGGTTTAAAAATGCTTGACCCATGGGAAATGCTACTACTAGGTGTGGCCTTGTTGGCGGAAGTGTGTCACTGTGTAGGTGGGCTTTGAGGGCTCCTAGTGCTCATGGGCTGCCTGTGGAAGAATCTCTCCTGGGTGCCTTCAGATCAATGTAGAACTCTCAGCTCCTCCAGCACCATGTCTGCCTACACACTGCCACGCTTCCTGTCATGACAATGGACTGAACCTCTGAATCTGTAAGCCAGCCCCAATTAAATGTTGTCCTTATAAGAGTTGCCTTGGTCACGGTATCTCTTCACATCCATGAAACCCTAACTAGCACAGAGTGTTTTGTGTGCATGGATATCTGTGCACATGTGTGCCAGGTGCCCATGAAGGCTAGAAGAGGATCCTCTGGTTACAGATGGTTGTGAGCTGCCATGTGGGTGCTGGATCTTTTAACTACTGAGACTCTAGCCTACTCTTTTTTATTTGTCACTGTTTTGGCATGCTGTGGATTGAAGCCTTGTACAGACCACACACTGGCTATTCTTCCTTTTTTTGGTGTATGTGAGTACAGGTGTGTGCACATTCATGTGTGTAGTGGTGCAAACCTGTATGTAGATGAATGTGAGCATCTGTGTGTGCAAGTGTATGTGGAGGCCAATGAACATCAAATGTTGCTTCTTGGAGACCATCTACTTGTTTGATGAGAAAGGATCTCTCAGTGGCCTGAAACTTACCACATAGAATATGCTAGCTGGCCAGTGATCCCCAGAAATCTACCAGCCTTGGCCTCCCCAGCACTGGGATCATAAGCCACATCGTGCTTTTGTTTTGTTTTGTTTTGTTTTGTTTTGTTTTAAGACAGGGTTTCTCTGTGTAGCCCTAGCTGTCCTAGAACTCACTCTGTAGTCCAGGCTAGGCTTGAACTCAGAGATTCCCTTGTCTCTGCTTCCCGAGTACTGGGATTAATGGCATGTGCCCACCATTGCCTGACTTTTAAAAGATATTTTCTGGCTTTTTTTTTTAACTTGTGGATTGAACATAGGTCCTCAGGCTCTCAAGGGAAGCACTTTACCAACTGAGCTATCTACCTCCCAGCCTCCTATTCTTAACACAAGGAGAATGGGGACTATCATCTAAAGATCTTCATTTCTGTTCTTATTTATTTTTTGACTAGTAGAAAAGAGACCCTGATCAGCGATGCACGGAGATCAGCGTACTCACATAAATACACCTATAGAGTCAGTCATTCAGACTGGGCATGAGCTTTGAAGTCTTGAACAAACATAGTTCAGACACTAAATAATTCAGAAACATCACATAGTTTTTCTGAATGGAGACGATGAAGCTTCACATTACATAGCCACCTGAGCTTTTCAGAGCAAAATTCCACAACGTTTCAAATACCTCTGGATCCTTCCATCCATATCCACAGGCCAGATCAGCACAGCCACAGCCACACCCAAAGCATCCCAGCCTGTTCCTACTGAAAATGGTAACTCCTGTTTTTTTTTTTGGTTTGTTTGTTTGTTTGTTTTTTTTGATACCAGATCACTGAGGCCTAGAATTCAGAGATATGCTTGCCCTTGCCTCCTGAGTACTAGGATTTAAGGGTTTGCCACCGTCACCCTTAACTCCCGGTCTTTTGTTGGTATTTTCAAGCTCTTCCTTACCTTGAACTGGGTACTTCGTATGCGAGTCAAGTTCATGAGCATGACCCCTGAGTTAACCCCAGCGGAGCCGTAGAAAGGATGCCGGGCAAAGCGACTGTACCAGCCAATCTTAGGGATTTCATGCTCTGGGGCCATGGCAGCAAGCTGGGTGGAGTTAAACTGTCTTAGAAGCTTCCAGATGTCATCCACGGGCCGCAGAAAGAGGACGTCAGTGTCCACGTAGAGAAGTGAGTCCACATCCTTTAAGATCGCCTTTGTGTACAAGGGGCGGGGGCAAAGCAAAAGCAGGTCAGAAACTATGAAAGTGGCTCAACAGGAAAAATGTCACTGATAGTGAGTGACCAACGTCGGGTTCTATACCAGGTACCACTCTTAGCTCCCATTCCTCTCTTTTCCTGTCACCTGAGGATGAGTGGCAGCCAAGGAGTGGAGGCTTGAGGGCAGATATACCTGGCTCTACACTGGCCGGACTTCAGGGGCCCTAGTCTAGTTGTAAATGGGCCAGACTTTAAAAGAGATGAAACCGGAAACATCAACTCAACACTGTAGCTCTTTTTTGTTTGTTCTTTCCTCCCACAAGTAGACCACTTGTCTTTCCCTCCTAGTTCTTTGTTGGAATAGCCAGGTATTGACAGTTCCACGTGGACGCTCCAGGCCTATCCCAAGCACTGGGACTGAGGACTCTGGGACATTGCTTCCATATCTTTCTAAGGTGATATTTTCAGCCTGTTTGGACTTGGAAGTAGAAAAAGCATGTCTAAAAAAGCTGACTAAGTTTGTAGATCTGGGATTGACAAGCTTCTCCTGTAGGGGACCAGGCAGTACAAACTCCAGGCTCTGTTGTAGCCAGCTGGCCCTGCTGATGTAACCTATGAGCAGCACGCGCAACTTGTAAGTGAACAAGGGTGTTTGTCATCCAAACTGCACGTAAGGACATTGAAAGTGGAATTTTATATAATTTTTGGATGTCATAGAATATTCTTGCTCTGTGTTTTAAAACAAACAAACAAACAAATAAACACCCATAGACTTCTATTTACTAGGAGGCTTGCTACATCTTTTCCCTAGCGTTCTCAGGTGCAGGGGTGTCCCTTACACCTACACCTGCAATCCAGCTTCCAGGGTTAGGCCTTCGAGTGTGAAACTTTAAAGCCTGAGTCAGCAAGTTGTCTCATTTTGTTGTTGTTCCCCAAACTTGGGAACAGTTTAACCAAGGAAAGATTTAACTCTTTCTGGGTCCTCAATGTAATCATACGTGTTATGAATTACCATGTGTGTGCCTCTGTGTCCAAATCCACAATGAAACCCTGACACCTCAAAGGACAGCATTTGGACATACAGCTTTGGAAGAACACTGGGATTAACTGAGGTCATAAGGATGTCATCATAATGCATTAGTGCCCTTTGGACAGTAGGGACCAGAAAGTGCCCTCTCTTCCCGGCCCCATTACGACACAGTGAGAAGGTGGCTAGTCATGCATATCAGGGAGAGAACCTTTGCCCAAACCCAACCCTGCTGGCATCCAAGTCTGGGACTTTTCCCAGTCAGAACTTTGGGAAACATGTTTCTGTTGTTTGAGGAACCAGTCACTCGTGTCTCATTGGGGAGCTGAGTAGATTAATACAGCACTTGTTTGGATCTCCAGCATTTAACAGTGTGAACACGGGTACTAAGCAATCCAGTTTTGCAGGGACTTCAACTGGACTTATTTCAATGCCTACTTGACTAACCTCAGGCTCTTTCTCTTCTCGTCCATTAGATGAACAGATTTTATAAATCAGCATATAAAATTAAAACTAACAGCTGTTATCCTATTAAAACAAAATAAAGCAAGCTGGTCAGGTGTGGTAATGCATGTCTTTAATCCCAGCACTTAGGAGGCAGAGGCAGGCAGATATCTGAGTTCTAGGCCACTTTGGTGTACAGACCAAGTTCGAGGAGAGCCAGGACTATACAGAGAAACTCTGTCTCAAAAAAAAAAAAAAAAGCGCAAAACCACTCAAAGATCCTGATTTCATTCAGAATTGTGATGAATTCTGCAATGGAGCACGTAGCCTCCCCACCACCACCACCATAATTTTTTAATCTACCAATCTATCACTTAGCCGGGTGTGGTGGCACATGCCTTTAGTCCCAGAACTCTGGAGGCAGAGGCAGCCATATCTCTGAGTTTGAGGCTAGCTGCAGTCTACAATGAAACCCTGTCTCAAAACAAACAAACACAAAAACAAACAAACAACTACCCCACATACTCCTTATTTTTCCTTATTTCCTATGAAAAGGTAAAACTGTCACAGGTTGGCACTAGTCTGTCATTCAGAAATCCGAGTGTACTGTGGAGAGAAGGGTAAACTCTCCACAAAAGTGTTAACAAACGCTTATGGTACAAAACTGCACGTCATATATAACTAGAAACCTGTTGTCTGATGCCCCCGCCCAACCATCCCAAGGGCTTCATGTCTTTGCTTTCTTTGGAAAGAAACCAGAACACACATGGTCCAAATATGAAGAACTACTCAGCTGAAGACAGGGCACAGGGGAGCTATCTACCTGTCCTGTCTGTTTTCCTAGAAACAGGACAGAGACTCCTAAAAACATAGACCCTTCTAATCTTCCCCCACTAGTTCCTACCCAAAGAGAGGAGGCACATTCTCTGAAGACCTCCACAGCTCAGAAACTGAGACTCTGCAGACTTTTCTCAACTAGCCTTTCCCCTACACTGCCCTTCCCAAAATTCCCCTGGAAGCTTGCAGCTGCTTTGCTTTGTCTTGTCATTGGTTTGCAATTTATTATTCTCAAAGGGCTGGCAGGATAACTGGGGTGGGGGTGGGACATAAAGGCATTTTACCCCTGGAAGCTAACGACCAGAGTTCCACCCTAGAGACCAATATAGTGGAAGAAGAGAACCAAGGTCTGCAAGGTGTCCTCTGATCTCCACATTCAAGCCACAGCATGTGTATCTGTACAAACACGTACAAACACACACACACACACCACACACACCACACACACACACACACACCACACCACACACACCACACACACACACACACACACCACACCACACACACACACACACACACACACACACACCACACACCACACACACACATACCCCACACACCACACACACCAAATAAACAAACAAACAAATAAATAAATAGTGGTTGTTTGAATAGTCACCAGGGAGTGGCACTATTTGAAAGAATTAGGAGGTGTGGCCTTTTGGGAGGAAGTGTGTCACTGGGAGGGTGGGCTTCAGGTTTCAAAAGCTCTTGACAGACTCCCTCCGTCTCCCACCTCCCTCTCTCTTTTTCTCCTCCCTCTCTGAATCAGGATCTATTTCTTAACTACTTCTCCAGCACTATGCCTGCCCTGCCTGACGCCATGCTCCCAGTCATGATGTTAATGAACTAAACTTCTGAGACTGTAAGCCAGCCCCTAACTAAATGCTTTCTTTCTTTTATAAGAGTTGCCTCGGTCATGGTGTCTCTTTAGGGCAATAGAACAGTGACTAAGACAAATAATATAATGAAATGTATGGTTCTCCGTTAAATAGTTAAATAAGCCAGTCTCCTGCCCTGGTGCCCTGTGTATTCTCCCGTGTGATGTAAGTGTCATGTACTGACAAACTTCCTTCTCTTATTACTCTCCTAGAGTGGGTGGGACTAATGAGCCTAGAGAAAGATAAAATTGTTTGCCAGAAGTATTTCAGTGTCTGACACCATAGAGTGTTAAAAAGAAAATAAACTAATTTAAAACCTTAGGATTAGAGAGGGGGAGAAAGGCACTTCAACTCTTGGAGACGTTCTCTTTATTGTTGTATAGAACGAGACCTGATTAAGGCATATCCTACCAACGCTTTAATTAGCCAGGGGTCTCGCAGAAATCTACTAGCAAATTGAAGTTTACTGACTACAGTACTTTCATTGTTCTCCTTGGTCTTTAGTCATTGCTATATCGATACTTTCTTTAATAAAAAAATAGGTTATCAACCCTCATCAAAACAAAAAAGGGGAAAAAAAAAAGGAAAAAGGATAGGAGGAAGGTCCAGGAAAGGAAAAGGAAGCAGGGAGTTATTATAACATGAAGGACTGTCCCTCAAGAGGGGAAAGCTGATGTACATGGCTGGAATTATATAAGTAGAGTCCCTTTCTATCCCATCGTGGTTTTAGTTTCTGACACAAGATCTCACTACATAGCCTATGATGGCCTTGAACACGGCATCCTCTGGCCTCTGCCTCTCAAGTGTACCACCAAGCCCAGTTAGGATGAAAATGGGGTAATGCTTATCTATAACAACATCTTATTGCTTCATATATTTGTTTACTATTAGAAAGGATGACTTGCTGATGCCAGTTCTCTCCTTGTTGACCATGTGGAGTTTTAGGACTGAACTCAAGTCGTCAGGCTCAGCAGGAAGTGTTCCTACCAGCTGAATCATATTGCCAGCCCTGTCATTTCCTTTCTAACAGTAACCATTGATTTGGTTCAAACATATTGTTTGTCTGCCCTAGAGGTGTTGCAGGTGTGGCTATTATGGTTAGCAGGTAGCAGAGAAGCTGGGCATTGTGGGAGAGCTCTGGCCCTGGGGTCATGAGAGTGGTAGAACTGGCCCTGTCTCTCATTGGCTGCAACACTCAGAAAAGTAGGCCCTGCAACTTGCCTGAGCAAAAGGGTAGAGCTGGCCTTGGCTTCAGAGATTGGGGATGAGCCCCCATGGGCATGAGAGCCAGAGAGCCAGCCCAGCCCTTTGCCTGTTGAAGCATTTGGGAGAACTGGCCCTGCACCTCACCTGGGCAGCACAGTAGAGCTGGCCCTGATGGTGTGGGCTTGGATGAGCTGGCCTCTAAGGCATGAGAGCTGGAGAGCTGGGTCTGTCCCTTGCTGGCAGCAGCATTGGATACGTCAGCCAGGGCAAAGCAGGAGAGCTCACCATAGTGGAAGAGCTGGTGGGCTGACCAGATCAGATACCTCTCAGGCCCAGATCCAGGGCTTTGAATTGGCCCACCCCAGCATCTACCCAACTGATGAATTGCTGGAGGACATGAAGGGGCCAGTATTGCAGATCCTGAACTATAGGGTCTCCATGACACAGGGCAGCAACAGATATCCAAGTGGAATTCCAGCAAGGTTTCAGTATTGATTGAGTACTAGAAGCCATAGGTCTCAAACCAGTCCAAGGAGTCATCGCCATAAACATTTTCAAGCAAAGACATGTGGACAAAAGGGGCACTGTGGGGCACACTGT